ATGTTTTAAAACGATGCAGATGCATGCACACACATACACACAGGTCCAAGACACGCAATTAAGAAATGTATTACACGTTTCTAAAAGAATATGCTATAAGATCTGGGGTGGTTTTCATAGTTTTTATTCTCCTACCATGAGTATCAGGAACACTGATGGTCCAGTGGGTTAAGAGTTGGGCTGCTAACTGCAAGGTCAGCAGTTTGAAACCCCCGGCTGCTCCAAGAAAGAAAGATGAGGCTTTCTGCCTCAAAAACACACAGGGGCAGTTCCACCCTGTCCTATCCGGCTACTGTGAGTCAGGATTGACTCAGTGATAGTGAGTTTTCCGCGTGGTGCAGTGGTTCAGTGTCTGGCTGTTAACCACATTGGGGGCAGGGGGGGAAGGGAGAGGTTGAGCCCACTCGCTACCCCATGGGAGAAAAATGTGCCAATCTGCTTCTGCCAAAATGACAGCCTTACCTGAAGGGCAACCTAACCACATGGAACAACGCGTGAACAAAGTGGGCTACAGGCCAGCCCCAGTCAGAGCCAAACTGACACACACACCCTAGAAGTACATGCTGCAACCCTAAACCTGCAGGTGGGGGAGAGGGGCTGGCCTGCCACACACACATGGAAGCAAGCCAAGAAAGAAAAGGAGAGGGCGAGGGACTGGACCCCATCTCGGCACACCAAGCCCTGAGGACGACGCCCCTGCATGGAGCTGCTAAGGCACAGAGAGGACTGCAGGGCCAACAACTGCTCGACATGATGTCCCCTCCCTGGACCCTACTGCAACAGAGGACTGTACGGGGAACACACGGCAGGGAGTGAGTCTGGTCTGACCACCCCACAGCGGTGCCAACCAAGAAGGGAACATAACAGATCAGCAACAGGAGCAAAGCCAAGCCACAAACCCCTGAGGAACCCCCAAAATAGACTTCAAGCCAGGGAAGACAGTTCCTGGAACCCCCCGGTACCAATGAGGAGATAGTCATAAAGGTCAAAGAACAGACCTGGAATTATGTATGCTTTTCAGGGTTTTTTGTTTTGATTCGGTTTTTTGCTAGTTTTTGTTGTTGTTTTTTCTCTTTTTATTCAATCTTTTTATTTCCTTTGTTTTGTCTTTGTTGTTGTTGTTTTGCCTACCAATATAAGGTAGCCATGGGAAGCAAGCCCCAGGAGACAGCAGTGGGACTGAAGGTTCTGGAGGGACCTGGTGGGGTGGGCGGCACAGGGGGAAAGAAGCGGTGAGCAAACACACCTCAGACAAGGGAACAACTAGGGAGTTAAAAGCAACAATGAGGAGGATGTAGAGGCAGAGATCCCAGTGGTGTTGGAGCAACAGCAGTCTAGCTGAGAAGAATTACTAAGAGGCAGAAGTAGGGCAAGTGTGATGGTGGGGCAGGAGGAAGGTAAAAGGAAACAGGAAAGAGCTAGGAAGCAAAGCTATGGATAGAGGTGTAAACATAGGCGTGCACTTATGTAAATGCATTAATTCATAAAAATAGAGGTATTGGCCTATGTATATTTATATGGTGATGCATTGAGGAAGTGGACTGACTTGGGGCCTCTGCTCAAGCCCTCCCTTAATGCAAGAACACTTTGTTCTAGCAACCTATCATTCTATGATGCTCACCCTCCCGACACGATCGCTAAAGACAAAATGGGTGCGCAGCAAAAATGGTGAAGAAAATGGATGGTGCCCAGCTATCAAAAGATACAGCATCTGGGGTCTTAAAGGCTTGAAGTTAAATAAGCAGCCATCTAGCAGAGAAGCAACAAGCCCACATGGAAGAATCACACCAGCCTGTGTGATCATGAGGTGTTGACAGGATTGGGTAATAGGCACCAGAAGACCCAAAACAGCAACAACAACAAATATATATTGTTGAAAACGAGCAGATTTGGAGCAGAGACCCCAAATCCATCTGTAGACAATAGGACATCCCCTCACAGAAGGGTCACAGGGAAGGGATGAGTCAATCAGGTGCAGTATAGCACCAATGAAACACACAATATTCCTCTGGTTTTTTGAGGCTTTCTCTCCCCTCCCCACCTCCCCCCTCACAATCTTGACCCCAGTTCTGCCTTTCATGTCTGGCTAGACTGGAGCATGTATACTGGAACAGATAAGAGCTCACAACACACGGAATCCAGGTCAGATAAACGCCCCAGGAACAGTAATGGAAGGAGCAGTACCAGGAGCGTAGGGAGAAAATGGGAGAGGAGAAGAGAAAGGAGGAACCAATCGCAAGGATCAACACATAATTCTCCCCTGCCCCAGGGGGATGAACAACAGAAAGGTGGGTGAAGGAGACAGTAGTTGGTTTAAGATAGGAAAATAATAATAACTTATAATTTATCGAGGGTTCACAAGGATGGAAGGGGGATGGGAGGGAAAAGAGAGGAGCTGACACCAAGGGCTCAAATAGAAAGTAAATGTTTTGAGAATGATGATGGCAACAAATGTGCTTGACACAATGGATGGATGTATTGATTGTGATCAAAGTTGTATGAGTCCCCAATAATATGATGTTTAAAAAATACACAACAACAAAAAAGTTTGAAATAGAAAAAAAAGTAAGTAAATGCTTAGAAAATGATGATGGCAACATATGTACAAATATGCTTGATACAATTGATGTACGAAATGTTATAAGAACTGTAAGAGCCCTCAATAAAATGATTTTTTTTAAATTAGGGCCTTGGTAACCCAATGGGACAGTTCTGAAATAATAGTTCTAGTCATCAGTAACCAATAACTACACGGCTGTGACATTTTTACTAAACAAAGGGGAAATTCCCTCACTCACGGCCATCCAGTCGATGCTGACTCATAGGGACACTTTGGGACAGGTAGAACTGCCCTGTGCATTTCTGAGACTGCAACTCTTAACAGAGGTAGAAAGCCTCGTCTTTCTCTTGTAGAGTGGCTGGGAATTTCGAACTGCTGACCTTGCGGTTAGCAGCCCACACCAGGTAACTGCCACACCACCAGGGCTCCTCGAACAAAAGGGAAAGGGAATCTTAAAAACATATGAGCTTAGAGTGTGGCGTCATCAGACCACCACGTCGCAGGGGACCAGCAGGGTACTCAAAGACTCCCAGCTGAGAGCTTGAGAAATCAGGATCTGTAAAGAAGCTTTATTTTAGAAGGACCTTACTAGGAAGACAGCAGCTCAAACCCACCAGTTGCTCTGCAGGAGCAGGCTGTAACAGTCTGCTTCCATGAAATTCAACGCCTTCTTGGAAACCCTATGGGGCCGTTCATCTCTGCCCTATAG